AAGAAAGCTTATATTATTTTTGCAAATATATTATCTTTAGTGCCAAATTTACATTTGAAAGAGAACCTGATTCTATGAAGCTATTTTATGCGACTGTCTTCGAGTACAACTGAAAAACAAGAAGAAAAAGGCTGGTTTACTTTATTCTTTTAATGATGCTTGGTGTTCTTCCAGACTATCCCTTAAGAAGGAAAGTAAGAAAACAAGACTTCAAGCAACAAACAAAGACTGAAAAAAACTCCAACCATTTATTCAAATAATATATTAAGTTAAAATGCCACAAGCTAAGGGAAAACTTTAAAAATCCCAATAAAACACTGATCAATTACACTATTTTATGGAGATATTTACATGAACAGTTATTCATTCCTTTATTATTATCCTCTAAGATGCTATATACCTCATCCCACTCCTCCAGTGTGGCAGGTCTAGCACTTATGTTGAGCTACCTATCGTCCCAAGCAACCTGTCAAGTCCACTTTCAGTTGGATCAACAGTCTAACCCAAATTATAAAATTATTTCCTGAATACTAGCACCAAGTGAAGAATCCATGTACATGATGGGTCAGATTGCAGTTTTGTGAGCACCTGCAGGCTTCGCTTGGATATCCTTCTACTTCTCCCTATCCTGAAAATGAACAATGTTTTGGTGTGGGGTTTGTTTCTTTTTGAGGTTGATTATGCCAGAAGTATCCAGTCAACAAATCTGCACTCCGCTTTTCTACTTTGCATTCAGCATCCAAATCAGCTAGAAGAGAATATACAGATGAAATAAAAAAACACTATTTGCACACTTCAGGGCTTGTGGGACTGAGCTTAGAAGATCTTCTACAACTTCAAAACCGCAGAGTAGTTTGCAGAACACAAGCTGACAGATTTGAGACACCAGACTGCTTAAAACCCCCCCTAATATACTTCAATCAACATTATCACTTTTTACCTGGTTTTAAATTATGGCTAAACTCAATCATTTAGTGTCTCCATTCTTCTTTGGTATATCCACTGCATTCTTTATGATTGTTAAGGTGCCTACGCACGCTTAATCACCACAAAATTTAGGAAAACACTATGTTCAAAGTGATTTAGAAACATGTTATTTAAATCCTGCACAGGAATAAGAGTAGTAGTATTACTACTGCAAATGACAAAAAGGAAAATCTTAAAGCTTATCACCACAAAACTGTATTTCTGCATATGCCACACTTTGAATGTGTATATGTTATTCAATAATAGAAAATAGGATTTCATTGTCAACATTTAAACCACAGTAGAAACGTCAGTAAAATACTAAATTCGGCCATTTGTCAAAAACAGTGATCAAGTCAACATCTGTGCTTGCAGAACAGTTAAAACTATTGAATTCTGCAATTAAATAGCCACATGATTTGTTACCTTGGTTCATTACCCACTGACTGTAATAAAATAGCAACAGTGCTCTAACTCCCCTTGTGACAGAAACAGAGCTCTGCATAATAGACTAAACCTACATTCAGGAAATACACAACAATACTGTAGGAACTGCTTAAGAAATATAGTCTTCCATTACAGAATGAGGTTCATCAATAAGAATTAAAAGAAGAAGCCAGCATGTTTCCTTTCATTACAAAAGTATTCCCGAATCAAAGGACAAGTAATGCGCAGAAGTGCATTCACAGACGAGTTTCATTAGGTATATAAAATGTCATGTAGCTCACACATAAGGTAACTCCATTTTCTTTATAAATGCTTCAGGTGATATTCCAAAAAGTCATTTTTTAAGTCCTAATAACACAATCTTGAATACATGCCAGTAAAGCTACTTTTCAGCAATTGCATTAATGTGCAAACACAAAGCCCATTAATATCATAGAGCTGATGAATAATTAAGCTTTTCGTAATTCCTACTGATTCTTACCATAGGAACATTTTCCTAAATGTACTTATTAAAAATTACCTAACACTGTAGAAGCAGTAATACTGTCATCAATCCATATGCCAAAATAAAATCAGTTTCTTCCACTGATGCTTCTTCACCAATTGAAAGTAATTAGGTTTCCTTTTCTTACATAAGTGCCATTAGTCTGCTAAAATCACAATGGTGACTTCCCCCAATTTTTACCTTCATTCTGAAATAGTACTTCTCAGTCATTTTTATATGGTTTTTTTTTATTTCTTCCTAGAAAGTGACATGTGTGCTGTAATTGCTTCCATCTTTACCATATATGTTGACATGAAACACTGTTTCTATAACAATACAAATCTAGATCCCTTTTTCACATACATTAAAAAAAATCCTGGATTTTTAACTCAAATGTTTTGTCCCTATATATACAGAATTCTTAGTGAGAGCTTTAAAGACTTTTAGATCTCTAACAGACAAGGAGGCATTTACTCTTTCCTCTAACTGCCATTTAGCAAAAGCTAAACACCATACTGTTACAACCAGCAAAAGGGGTAGTCATTAGCTGGAGAAAATAGACTAGATTACCATTAATCCTTGCTAATAAATACATTGAAACCATCTTGTCCACAGCAGAGCTGAAGAAAAGGAAATCCAGCCCATAAGCCCGCTGCCGACTCAGGGTACCCTGTCAAATAAAGCTACAGAATCAAAGGTGCAATACAAAGCCTTGTTTGCTTAAAGCCACACAAGCAACAAAACGGCTGCACTTGGAGGCAGCTTTGTATACCCACATACATCATCAGATGACTAGCTTCAACCACGAGGGAAAAAAACTTCAGTGCAAGGTTTCAGAGAAGGTGCTATGTAATTGTTCTTGACTGAGTAGTGGCATGGACCAATTTCAGTATGCTCCAAAATAAGCCTGAACTCTACGTAATATGTCTGGAGAGTTTACTTTTTAGGAGTAGGGATTAATGTATATATACAGTGAAACAAAACACAGCTTTATGAACAATGCTCTTAAATAGGTAATTAGGTAATGCACCTTAAAAAACTTCTACTCAAGTCTTGCAACCCAACAGCTGAATTTTCAATTTGATCTAACAATAGTTAAAAACAAATGAAGAGCTGAGTCCCAAAAATTAATTAGAAACCACTTCTTACACTGTATTTTTTGCTAAGGATACCCAACTATTTTAACCCCAAATTTTTCATATGCTTGCTATAATGGGGCATTTGCTGCTTTTGGGTTGTTTAGTGGTAACAGAAACCAAAGGAGAGGTCAAATTTTGTCAATATAATATTCATACAGATAATAACAAACCTGTTGAACAGCTGTATTCATGAAATAGCTGTAAAGCTAGAATGTGTAAGATGACAAGTCTTGCACGTGCTTTTCACACCAAAAATCAGTGTGCACATGAAGAGAACTACATTCCTGTAAAAAAACTAGCAGTGGAAGTTCCTTGCAGCCCAGAAACATATAGTGAAGCAAAAAAAACACCAGTAGCTCAATTTTTAAACAATAAAACTTTCATTATTCAAAAACATCGAAATAACTAATAAAAAATAATCAATGACAAAATATATTTGTTCTGATTTGAAGAACAAGTGATGACACAATGATGATGTCATTTGACATTAAGATGCCAGATATGTATAGGAGCAGATGTAGTGTTTGGTTTTTATATGTAGAAGGAATAAAAAAAATCTATTTCACTTCAATTGAGATATGAAGGCAAAAGCAGTTTCAGAACAAAACCCTATTGTAGAAATATATCAATTTTGCTAAAACTTTGAATTTCAGTCCAAGTAAGTGTATTTGGAACAATGCAAAGCTAAGATCATTACAGCACTCACCTGGGATGTGAAAGCCTGAAGTCCCTGCCCAGTCCAAACCAGAGCAAGGATATCAATCTATTCTTCCATACTCAGTGCTCTGATCACAGGTAGTAGTTACTCTGGAATAAATACCTCAGTCTCTTCCATGAGTTGCTCCACTTCTGCATGTAAACACTACAGTATTTATTATACTAGATGTTTACTAATTCTGCAGCTTAACTGCAGCAAGTCAAAATTGTTCCAAGATGTTGTGAAACAAAAAACTTCAATACTTTACAGTTTTTCACAAAACGGAAATCTACTTCCTGGTTATTAACTAGCAACCACAATGAAAATCCTGGCAAAGCTGAGGAATGCTGCTCATCTAGTAAGCATCTGTAGTGTCAAAATTAAAAAAATAAATTTTAAAAGTTTCTCAACATACTGACTTCATTTTTTCTCATTATCACAAGTTCTAATATTAACTGCCAACAGGAAAAACTAATTTGACAGGATTAACAACACGTTTTTAAAAAGCAGAATCCTACACGCACTTTGTCAAAATTTAGAATTGTGGATAAACAGATTATCAAACACATTCAAGCACGCAGATGCAATTAATTAGCACCAATGAAAAAGATGAACTTGCAGTTCTAGATCACGCTTTTAGTGGCTTTCACTTTCCAATTTCAAGCAAGTTTATGATAGCCATGCTATCATAATATCATGGTATCATTCATGTATCCCTTAATGAGCTGAAACTGGCAAAAGTGTTTTCTACTGCATGACTATAATTGAATTTTTGTATATTAAATCAGAGCTACAGTACAAAAGGCACTTGGTAAGTCTAAATGTACATTTGTCCAAATCTGTCTGAAAAGTTACAATATACAGATCAAGAGTTCAGAGTTTTTAAAAACGTCTGTATTTTTATATTTCTACCACGGTACTATTCTTTTCTCTGTCACAGATAATTACCTCTTTAAACACATAATTTTAGGATAATTAAAACTACTGAGTACAACAAAGGTTCAGCTTCTTACTGTCTCCTTTCTTTTCCTATACTGAAAGAATTTTTTTGATCATATTAACAAAAATTTTAAAAAGCAATATTTTTATGACTCTTGAAAATGCACAGACACAGAGACACGAAGCTGCTGCTCAATAAATCTTTCCATTCTAGT